TCAGGTTATGTTCAGGTGATTGGTTTTGTTGGTATGCAGTGATGAACGCGCAACCTTGCACGTGGCCACAACATTATACACAAAACCGAGCTCCACCTCCCAAAAATGTACATCCTTACCCAGCTCCATATAATCCCCAACCAAATGATCTCCGATATAATCCTCGCCCAAGAGAGCCTTTAAGAAAGAATCAGTTCACCCCTATTGGTGAATCGTATTCAAGCTTGTTCCAAAAGCTAGTCAGGCTAGATCTATTGCAGCCAGTGGCCCCGAAATGGCCGAACCCCGAGTCCCCCTCGCACCGAGCTGATGTTAGATGTGAATACCACTCTAGATCAGTGGGACACAGTACAGAGGATCGTTGGACCCTCAAAAGGGTAGTTGAAGATTTGATTGAAACTGAAAGAATCGTTTTTCGGGATGAAGAAGCTTCTGATGTGATGAACAATCTGTTGCTTGCCCACAACATTGGGCCAATGGTCAGAATGATTTGTGAAGTTGAGGAATTTGATCCAGCACCGAAGGCCGTTGCAGCCTTTGCCGAGATAGAAGAAAAGCCAAAAATGGTCGCCAAGCATGAAAGTTCCCCATCAAACGGGAGTCTTAGTGGCCAGTCTTGCTATCCTTTCTGCATCCGGATTATCTCAGGGTGTGATCCGGATGTTTTACCTTATTGTCTTACTTTCTGATGCAAACCCTTCTATCTTCAAAAAATTGAAAAAAAAAAAAAAAATCAAAAATCAAAAAATCAAATGAAATTAATATTTCATTTTCCAGGAATGTCTCTTTTCTTAATCTTGTCATTTTTCTTTCTTATTCTCTTTTTAGTTCTGTTAAATGCGGATTTCAATAACATGACATGCTTGCGGACTTCATGCCCATATCCTGAAAGCTGTTAGGCCTCGAAATAATGAATCAAGGATTAGATCGCAATGAAGATAAAGTTTAAGGAAATAAAACAAAGAGTTGGAACAACTGAAGGAAAATTGGTTCCCAGATTGGAAAGGTTTGTACATTGCAACAAGAGTACTGCCAAAAGAGTGTGTTGCACTTAGGACACATCGAAGGAAATCTCCCTGAAATAACTGTCAATGCAAATACAGTCAAAAGGTACTATGTTGGATCCTCCATATATTACTAATATTGTCCAATTGGGATGACGAAGGCTTTCATTCTCGCTACCCAAACACTATCAACCCTTTGCAAACCCTTTGAGCCGGCTCCCATTCTTTGATCACCCTCTTTGGAACCTAAAGATGTTATTGAAAAAGAAAAAAGCAAAAAAAAAAATGAAATGAAAAATGAAATAAAAAATATCAATCAAAACAAGTTAAAGTCATTCTGAACTACGTTCGACTTGATTTCGAAAGGATACGTAGGCAACCTCTCTCTGGGGTTCAGTCACACCAAAATAAAAATCCAAATTCCCCCAAAAGTGAAACTGGGACAGATGTTGTAATGGTCCGGCGATGATCCCGCCTGAATGGTTCCAAAGTTGTAATTCGACCCAAATCATTTTTACCCAAATCCTTTCAAGTCCTTCCGATCAATCAGTGAGAATGTTCAAGGATCAGAGAATACGACTACTTAGATCCGATGCAATAAAAATGAGAGAAATAAAATGAGAGAGTCTTATTGGTGAAAACCCACACGGGCACCATGAGGCGATGGTAAGAAGAGAAATGAAAAATAAGAGAGTCTTGTTAGTGAAAACTCGTAAAGAGCACTATAAGGCGAGAAGAAAAATGAGAGAGTTCAGCTCGTGAAAACCCGCAAAGGGCGCCCCTGATCGAAAAGAGGATCCTCACAGCCATCGGCACCGACAGAGTCCTGGCAAGGTTTCTTGATTTTGAGGAAAACATTGTGATGAATTTCTGAGAGTCGGATGGTTTACACAGATCAGGCATCCAGTCCAAAAGGCATGTCATGTTCATTGAAGTCCGCATGTACTCCAGATAAGTCCTTCTTTCCTTTCCCCGAAAGGGACACTTCTTGTTTTAAACTCATTCTCCATTCCATTGTTTGTTTTCTTTGAATCCATTTCGGTCTAACACTGTTCCGAAACTAAGACAAAGAAAGGATGGCAAGACTGATTTATAGGGTTCTCATTTGGCGCGAGCTAATGTGAAGAAAGGCACCTAGCCTCGTACGGGCATCAAGTCAACCCCGACTAGCCATGGCGGCCAATGCTTCGAAATCAAAACTCTTGGAAAGAGAAAATCAAATGGAGCGCCTTTAAAGACAAATGAAGTTGAAAAGGTTGAGTCCCACGTGGCTAACCATCTCGACAAAGAGTTGTAAAAAGCCAAGGCATCCCAAATGCCTTGGCTTTGACATACAGTTTAATGGGTTTCTGGTGATGGAAATGGGTTCTTTTGAAATCAATTTTGAGCATATCGTTAACTTGCAACAGAAATTTGTCAATTTAATGAGTTTGGTGATGGTTTGATGGAATTGATGATGACGAATTTGGCATTGAAATCGGTGGTGTCGATTTGGTGGTGATGGGTTTGTGATGGTAGTGTTATTGGTAGTAATGGAGGTTTGGTGGTGGGTGTGGGAGAAGATAAAAAAAATGTGTGAATAAAAAAAGAGAAAAAAGTTAAAAACATATGATGCGTGGTGCTAATGTGGCATGCACGTGTGATGCACCTTATACTGCGAAAGTGATATTATGTTTTAGAAGGTAGTATTAAATTCACTTTGAATAAGGATAATAAGGATAAGGAGGTAGTAGGACACCCGAAAAGATTGAGTGTGAAATTAATTTCCTTGTACAAGTACAAGGTGCATCTCATGTATTTTTCCGAATTTTTATCCTAACTCAGTCCCCCCTCCCCCCACCCCCACCACAAAAAAAAAAAAAACAGGGTTGCCGATTCATTATGGCAAAGACTTGATCTGAACTGAATCTCCCAGATTAGTTCCTATTGTAATAATACTACTTAACTTTATTTACTAATTTCAATAAATTAAAATGCATCTTTCTTAGGACCAAAAAAAAAAAGTTTCCATCTAAACACATGTTATAGTAACTAATTTTGTCATCCTTCCACCGTTATTATATATATTGATATAGAAAATAATAAAAATAAAAAAGAACCACATAAAGGACATGTTAACCTATTCACTGGTCAGACATGATCAACATTAATTAATTTACAAGCGCCTAATAATTTCACAATTTTACGGACCTCACCCAAAATGCAATACCGTTAATTCGTCAAAATTATATACTCCTATAAGAAATCATCATTTATGTAATTTCGTCTCTCTCCACATATTTTATGAGGAAATGATCGTCTAAGCTCATTTTTTAATTTGAATAGAAGAAAATAATTTTACAAAGATTTTTTGAGATTAATTTAAAATTTTTACTGTGTCACTTTTTACGATCTCCAGTTACTTTATTTCGATATGAGTCCGTCCTATATATTGTAAAGGAAGGTTATGTCTGTTAAGCTTGAAGAAGTACGAGCTTAGAGAGCTTCACAACCTACAATGGCGGAAGCAGTTAGAAGCTTCCAAAGGATCGAAGCTAAGGCAGAAGTGGAACTCTCAAACGAGTGAAAAGAGAATCACTTTTCAATTATGCATAAGCTGGAATATATACAATCAGATTAGCTAATGACAACTAAGCAATAGCTAATCAATCTCTAACCAATTGACTAACTGACCTCTAACTAACAGCTACAACTAACTATTGGAATGAACAGTGCAACCTCTAACTAACTATTAACTAATTATCGAAAAGGAAAATAAAATATAGATTTCTCTTATAATCTTAATACCCTCCCCCTTCAAGTTGGAGGTGGAGAACACAGTGCCAACTTGCCCAAGACAGTGGAATGCTTGATCCCAGTGAGGGATTTGGTGAGAATGTCAGCGAGTTGATCACCAGTTCTAATATGTTGAAGCAGGATGAGGCCTTCTGTGAGCTTTGTCCTGACGAAGTAGCAATCGACTTCAATGTGTTTGGTACGTTCGTGAAAAACTGGATTCCTGGCAATGTGGAGAATATATTGACTGCCACAAAATACAGGGATAGGTAGAACATGAGGGACAGTCAATTCTGTGAGCATACGATGCAGCCAAACAAGTTCACCAACGACCTTTCTAATGGATCTGTACTCTACTTCTACTAAAGAAAGGGAGATGGTTTCCTTCTTCTTAGATTTCCAACTGATAGGACTATTGGCCAAAAGAATAAGGTATCCTGACACTAACTTCCTGGAGTTAGGGCATGCAGCCCAATCAGAATCACAGTAGGCTTTTACTGAGAAATCATTATCACTGGACATGAAGAGACCCAAGGTGGGATCCTTGAGTAGGTATCTGAGCATATGATATGCTTCCTGAAGATGAGGTTCTCTAAGGTCCTGCATATATTTGTTTAGATGATGTACCCCGTAAGCTATGTCTAGTCTAGTGTTGGTGAGGAAGTTTAACTTCCCAACTAGTTGCGTATAGAAAGTAGGATCAGATAGAGGTACTCCTTCCTTAGCTTTCAACTTTGTTGTGGGATCAAGTGGAGAAGACAAACTGGTAGCATGGAGATAGTCATATTCTTTGAGGCGATCAAGAGTAAACTTCCTTTGTGAGATCAAGATTCCACCTTTTCTGTAGAGCACCTCAAGTCCTAAGAAGTAGTATAATTTTACCAAGTCTTTGATCTTGAATTGGTCATGTAGGAAGGTTTTTAGCATTTGAATTTCAGTGAGATCATTTCCAGTTAGTAGAACATCATCTACATAAACTCCCACAAATACCACACGATCAGATGTTCTCTTGTAAAAGAGAGGATAATCGTGCATAGAATGAATGTAGCCCCTGGAATACAAAGCTTCAGTGAGTTTAGCATACCATTGTCTACTAGCTTGCTTTAGACCATAGAGGGATTTGTTCAATTTGCAAACCAGTTCTAGAGAAGAAACTGCAAGCCCTTGGGGCAGCTTCATGTATACCTCTTCATGCAAATTTCCATGGAGAAAAGCATTGTTCATATCTAATTGAAATAGCTCCTAGTTCTTCTTAGATGCAGTAGCAATTAAAGCTCTAACAGTGGTCATCTTTACTACTAGAGAAAAAGTTTCTGTGTAATCTTTGCCAGCCTTTTGTGTATAGCCTTTTACAACTTATTTGGCTTTATACATTTCCACACTCCCATCTACTTTATGCTTTACCTTGAAGACCCACTTGCAGCCTATGACTTGTTTCCCAGCAGGTAAAGGGACTAAAGTCCAAGTGTTGTTTGCATGAAGTGCTTCAAATTCCTAAATCATGGCATGCTGCCAGGCAGTACTGACTGCTTCTTCTTCATATGACAAGGGCTCCCTATCATTATAGATGCTTTTTACAACCTGCTGACTATCAGCATTAAGGACATCATGAGCAATATGGTTGTTTTGGGTAAAGAGACCATTGAGAGAAAAGGAAGGGTTGATCTGAGTGGCTTTAGCATGTTGAGATTGTTTTAGGTTGGGCATATTACAAACATATTCAGATAAATAAGAGGGGTCTTAGATACTCTACTGGACACCCTTTGAATTGGCCTTATAACAGAAGATGATGGCTGGTCTACCCCGGAGATGATTGAAGGGATTAAGTCTGGTGATGTGGTATTAAGTGTATGAGGTGAATGTATAGTAAGATTAGGTGACATTGGGATAGTTGTGTGTATGGTGCTACTAGGTGATGGTACAATAGAGTTATCTGTCTGAGAAGTTAAAGGGTTGTGGTTTGGGTAAGACTGCAGTCAGTAGAATGATCTTGATGTGTGATAGAATTAGGCAAGAGAAAAGAGTAATTTGGTACAGGTGGGAGTGAAAAAGGGAAGATTGATTCATGAAAAATCACATCTCTGGATACACAGATTTTCTTATTAGTTAAGTTTAGTACCTTGTACCCCTTTACACCAAAAGGATATCCAAAAACATATGGAGAAGTTCTTGGTTCAAATTTATCTCTGTGAGGCTTAGGGACAATTGGATAACATAGGCAACCAAAACTCCTAAAGTGTGAGTAGTTTGGTTTCTTTCCATACAACAGCTCAAAAGGGCACTTGTTTTTCTAGGGTAGAGCAGGTAATTGATTGATGAGAAAGATTGCTGTAAGTACATACTCTCCCCAGTATCTCAATGGAAGTTTGGCTTGGAACAATAAGGCTCTGTCAGTATCCAATAAGTATTTATGTTTTCTCTTTACTATGCCATTTTGTTGGGGTGTATAGGGGTAGGTTTTTTGGTGTTCAATACCTTTTGACTGAAAGAATGAAGTGGCTTCATTGCTAATGAATTCTAAGCCATTGTCTGATATGATATACTTTATTTTGGTTGTAAATTGTATCTCAACCATGAATATGAAATTCCTGAGGGTGTGTAGTGCATTACTTTTGTAACTGAGTAGATGAGTCCAAGTGAATCTACTATGGTGAGAAAGTACTTGAAATTGTCATGAGTGGGTATATGATAAGGTCCCCACAAATCTATGTGTAGGAGGTCGAATATGGCAGTGGTGTTTGTAATCTTTGGAGGCAAAAAAAGTCTAGATTGCCTGGCCATAAGGTATATAGAACAAAGGAAGGGTTGTCTTGGTGCAAAGTCTGCTAGTATATTGGATATCATTTTCATCTTTGCAAAAAGTACATGACCAAGTCTATGCCATAACATGTTCATATCATTCACATCATTTGAAAGGGATTCAGAATTACAGTCCCAATATGTTTTATTGCAATGAGAATTATTTACAATAGGAAGTGGAGACACAGTATTCACAGTAGAACTGGGATGAAAGGGAAAAGAAACACAATGAGTACTTACAGATGGACTAGTTTGACAGGAATGAGAGAAACACGGTGTTGTAGTAGCAAGATCTGCATCCTTCTTTACTGCTATAGGATTTCCTTTATTCAGACAGTCTGAGCAGAGAAGGTTCAATCCATCATGGACCTTACCAATCTCCAGAGGCCTCTTCAGAGAAGAGGCCTGCAGAAAACGACATGTGTTAGAAAAGAAGGCTAGGCACTTGAGATGTGTTGTCAAAGAGCTAATAGAAATGAGGTTGTATTTGAAAGTTGGGACAAATAGAACTTTGTATAGGATTATTTTGTGTGTAAGAGTCCTATTTCTGTGACCTTGACTTTGTAGCCATTTGGCAATTTCACAAGGATAGGGTAAAGTAACTATGTTATGTAAGTGTGTTTTGTTGAAGGTCATGTGGTGTGAGGCTCCTGAGTCCAGAATCCATAAGTCAGCCTTTGCTTGAAAACATTTGCATGATAGTTTGTCAAAATCTATAGAAGAAGTACAAGTCACAATACCTGCAAAATTTCCTGCAAAGTTCACTATTGCATTGGCTGAATTTTTGTTTGAATTGTCCCCTGTTCCATCATTGTGAAAGTGTTGCAGGAGTCTCACCACTTGATCATATTGCTCCTTTGAGAGGTTTACATTATGGTTTTTGTTGCCTCCTTGATTCTCTAGATCTTCTCCTTGGTTTGACATTGTATCAGATGGCATAGCATGTGCACCAGCCACATCATTTGCTGTAATGTTCCTTCCTCTATTGTTCTTGGGATACTGATTATAGTTGTTTGAGTTGTAACTTTGAGCTCCTTGTCGATTAAATTGCTGTGGATATCCATGAAGTTTGAAGCACTTTTCCTTGGTGTGATCTTGTTTCTTGCAGAAGTCATAATAGGTCCTAGGTCTGTTGTTCACTGAGAAATTTGTTCTGAATGATCTTGGAGCTGTAATGCTGGTGTTCATTGCACTAGACTCAAAATTCAACTGATTCCTAGGTCGAACTCTCTTTGCTTTTCCTCTTGCACTAGAAGGGCAAAAGCCTGTGCCATTGATGGCAAGGGATTCATCATCAGAATGCTCCCTCGAACTACAGTGTAGACCTCATTCAAGCCCATTAGGAATTGTATCAGTCTCCTGTCTTGCTCAACTTTGTGCATGTTCTCTTTTGCACCACAAGTGCACTGACAGTTACTTACTGATTTAGCACTCAGATTGGTCAATTCTTTTCACAACTTCTTCATTTTAGTGTAGTATCCAGTGATGCCGAGCAATTCTTGGCTCAAGTCATTAATCTCCTTTTGGATCTGGTATAACTTTGCTCCATTTGTTTGATCATAACGATCTTCAAGTTCTCTCCATAGCTCAAATGAAGTGTTCACATACTCCACACTATCTGCAATTTCTTTTGCAAGTGAATTCAAAATCCATGAGGTTACCATGTCATCACACCTCTCCCATTGCCTAAAACTCGACGAATTCGAATTAGGTTCACACATTCTCCAGTGATGAAGCCTAATTTGTTTTTAAGACAGAGAGATCTCAATACACCTCTCCTCCATGAACGATATCCTAGTCCATCGAAAGGGACTGGAACCAAAACTAACCCAGGGCTATTACAAGGATGAATGTAAAATGAACTACTCACATCGATCGTCGATTGAATTTCTACTGTTGTCGTGTTCGTAGTGTCTGCATCACCTATCGCCATGTTTGCTTTAGCTCAAGATCAGGATTGAATAATAAGTAAAGTTGATTGACTAAGAAAATAAGGACACAGAGATCCTCGATCGAATGGGTTGAAATGTGAGACCTAACTTTGAATGTGAAGAGATCAATGGATTGCGATCTATGTTTTAGTGAATCGTCTTGTCAAAAGAGCAAGGTTCTGATACCATGTTAAACTTGAAGAAGCACAAGCTTAGAGAGCTTTACAACCTACAATGGCGGAAGCAGTTAGAAGCTTCCAAAGGATCGAAGCTAAGGCAGAAGTGGAGCACTCAAATGAGTGAAAAGAGAATCACTTTTCAATTATGCATAAGCTGGAATATATACAATCAGATTAGCTAATGACAGCTAAGCAACAACTAATCAATCTCTAACCAATTAACTAACCGACCTCTAACTAATAGCTACAACTAACTATCAAAATGAATAGTGCAGCCTCTAACTAACTATTAACTAATTATCGGAAAGGAGAATAGAATATAGATTTCTCTTATAATCTTAATAATGTCCACTTACCTCTCTGCGCTCGAAACATTATTTCCATTTGTAATTTTTTTCACGTAATAGTATGGGGGTGTTTGGCCAAGCTTATAAGCTGGTCAAACTAGCTTATAAGCCCATTTTGACTTATTTACACATTTGGTAAACATCCAAAGTGCTTATAAGTCAAGTGTTTATAAGCTAAAATCAGCCATAAGCCATAAGTTGATCACCACCAACTTATGACTTTTAAGCTTATAAGCACTTGTAGTTTGACCAAGATTTTTACTAGTTTATCCTTAATAATATTTTTTAGTTCACAAAATACTTTTCCTAATATAAGTTTCCTAACTTTCTCGTTGTTCCCTATTCGTTGTTCATGCTTTTCTTTACAAAGATTTTTTTTTATTTATAATCATTTATAAAAAAATTAAAGGGTGCCAAACACATCAACTGTTTATTATATACTCATATAAGAAATCATCATTTATGTAATTTCGTCTCTCTCCATATATTTTATGAGGAAATGATCGTCTAAGCTCATTTTTTAATTTGAATAGAAGAAAATAATTTTACAAAGATTTTTTGTGATTAATTTAAAATTTTACTGTGTCACTTTTTACGATCTCCAGTTACTTTATTTCGACATGAGTCCGTCCTATATGTTGTAAAGGAAGGTTATGTCTGTTAAGCTTGAATAAGCACGAGCTTAGAGAGCTTCACAACCTACAATGGCGGAAGCAGTTAGAAGCTTCCAAAGGATCGAAGCTAAGGCAGAAGTGGAACTCTCAAACGAGTGAAAAGAGAATCACTTTTCAATTATGCATAAGCTGGAATATATACAATCAGATTAGCTAATGACAACTAAGCAATAGCTAATCAATCTCTAACCAATTGACTAACTGACCTCTAACTAACAGCTACAACTAACTATTGGAATGAACAGTGCAACCTCTAACTAACTATTAACTAATTATCGAAAAGGAAAATAAAAT